GGTTATATAAATATCAAGAATGCAACGTATGCAGTATGTAGATCATATATTGAATTTAACCGACCCCACTATGTAATTTAATAAAGAAACCACGATTTAGTGTAATATTACACAATCAGAAAATTTCAAACACTTAGTATAAAAATCGCTTATACGTACCATCTTTTGCACATTACGGTTATTAGTTGTTTTTTATTATTAGTTCTTTTTAAATTAACTATCTTAAATATAAATTAACCTGTTTTTTACAGAAATCCACAGCTGATTTTAAACAAGCAATTATGAACCCAATAAAAAGCGATTTGGATAACAAACAGATTATTTTTCGAAAAAGTTCTTATGGATTTGTAAGTATTAATTAGAACTCCTAAATTCTAACCCTAGCATAAACGAAATTAAAAATTTTGTCGGATATTATTATGTGATAGTAAAAATTTTTCTGGAGATGCTGGGAAGACCCTATATGCACAGAATTCATGCATGAAGTATAGCGACGATAAATGGCACATATTTTGATCACGTTTATCGACGAAGGATTTTACGCGTCAAATTTTCTGCTTTACGAAAAAAAGCAAAGTACAAGTTCTCGTTTTGCATTATATTTTCCGAATAAATTGTTATTACAGCCATATCAAACAAATCTATTGGTATGTTAGTAAATTGTTGAGTTTTTTGTATGAAATTCGATTGAGTTAAATTTGAAACATTTCTTTTTTGCATACCTTCAATCTCTCGATATTTTTAAAGATAAGCTACCCAACGAATGGTCTGAAGAAGGCTACATGTCTTGGATACTTGAACATACAACAAGACAAGCCATACGCAATGAATTTTATAGTGCTTTAGGTGCTATAAATAAATACCGTTATACTTCGAGAATGTCACCAAAGGGCTTTTAGAAAATCAAGAGGCAAGCTATTCTTTACAAATGAAATAGAGTATAGATAAAATATTATTTTGCCAAGCTATTGTCGAAATTATGTTGCTAAGCAAATTGTTTTTGAGTTTAAAAAAATATGTCTTTTAAATTTTTTAATCGAAGTTGTTAATATATAATTCTAATTTTGACTACATTTATATTTTAATAAAGGCCGATGTTGCGGGTGATGATTTGGAGGTTGTATCTGCATCTGTTGCTGGAAAAAAGCGAGGCGAGAATGATGATACTATTGACACTTCCACAAGTAAAAAGAGGGTGACCGATTCTGAACGTAAGTAAAAACACCAAGCATGATTATTTATATGCATTTTGTATACATATTTTACTTACTACGTTTTTGTTTTCAGTTGTAAGTCAGGAGGAAGCGCTGTCACTCATTCCACCTCCGATTGGGTTTTTTCCAGATGCACCGGCATCAAAGTTTACTACATCAGCGGTTGAAAAATCACCGAAAGAAGTAAGACTTTGGGAAGTCTTCTTTGAGGAGTTGAATGGGTATCTCTTAATCTCATAGGACGATATTCGTCTGATTGGCTGATGTAAATTAATTGCCCGGGTAACTAATTTATACAGTTTAAAGTAATTTTTGAAAATGCCATTTATCGTTTCGAACAAATATTTATATTTATTGTTCAAAATAATCAACATTCTTAGAAACTTTACTTAGAAGACAAAATATACAACTGCCTATTGGACCATCAAACGTATACTAAGATTGAAGGTAACTGGGAATATTTTTGTCTAAAACTGCTTTACCATGTTAGATTTTAATAAACTTTATTATTAACTATTTACTTTAGACAGGTATAAGCTTGTAATAGTAGACGACTTGGGTTTAGTGATTTAATTTATTTAGTTCATATAGTGTGTTTGGTTCTGTTAATATAAATAAAATAAGTTTGGGTTTATGAATCGTAGATTGTATAGTGAATTCTGGTTTATTAATATAATATTATTTTTACTTCATGTTGTATACATCACCTATCCTCTAGATATATAAAATAAATTCTGTGTGTGTATTACTAATTTATAAGCTTCTTTCAATGTGTTTTTTTTTCGTTTCTTATAATATTAAAAACGGGCAATCACGAGTAAATCATCAAAAAATTAGCCAATTATACGAATGTCCCCCTATAACCTTTGTTCGAAAAATTTCAAACGACCTACCAATGATTCCAGAATCAATGACTGCATTTGATAATTGTTCGATATACTATTACATCATTTTTCATATTTTATCAAATCTTTTTATTTTCCTTTTCATTACTATTGTAGCGAATTTAATTTTATAATCTTACCCTTTTTGGTGTAATTGATTATCTAACTAAATTAGTATCGTGATTGTTAAAGTCCTCGAAGGAGGCAGTGTGCATAATGACATGAGGCTAACGATAGCGTGTGCCTCTGATGTCATAAAGTAGGTTCCAAAATGTTCTCTTTCATATATATTAATCTAAATATATAAAAGTAAAGCCTTCATT